GCTGCGCTCAAAGTGCGCTCGGAATCGTCGTCTGTTTCATTAATAGGCCGCAAACAGAGGGGCTGAGAGGCTCGCTTGGTTGGCGGGGCGTCGGCACACAATTCAAATGTGTTCATTGATTCAGACACCTGTGATTGGCTGTCCACGAGGGGTGGCTGGCGGACAAAGCAGGTCACCTGCTGTGTTTGGCCACCTGGTGTCTGCAGAGCCACCAGGGCCATGGCAGCACAAGGCGAGCGCCATGCAAAAGCTCACTTGCGAGAAGTTGATGGAAGCCGCTCTCGAGGCCGACTCCAGCCGATGTCAGCAGCAGCTGCCCAGCAAAGCTGGTGACAGCGATGGCGACCAGGAGGGTCGCGTCTGCGGCGAACGGCAGCGTCACCCAGCACCCCGCCACGCTGAACTCCAAGCTCAGGGCCAGGTGACGACGGCCCACAGCCGCAGCAGCAGCAGCAGCAGCAGCAGCAGCAGCAGCAGCAGCAGCAGCAGCAGCAGCAGCAGCAGCAGCAGCAGCAGCAGCAGCAGCAGCAGCAGCACCAGCAAGACTTCGGCCTTAGCAACAAGATGGCCGGCTTCAGTCGCTGTGATTTTAAGTAGCACTGGCCTGCCTCGCCGCTCATATGTAGACGAGATTCCATTGATGCAGTCAAATTGTGCTGCAGTCGACAAGCGCACCCCAGGGCGAAAGTCAACGTCGTGCGTGGGTTACTCGGATTGGTCCGAAACTCACTGAAGCATACATCAATGGGCGGCATCACATAAGCTATTGCTGAGCTACACAGCTGTCAGTGGTGCTTTATTCAAAGTAGGAAATCAGCGTCCTGCAGTAAGTAGGTGATGAATTGGTCCCCTCCAGAGAAATACATGCCCCTCAACTCCTGCGCTGCTGGTGTCCAATATGTCAGGGTTGCCGTGTAATCATAGTTGAAAACATGATTGATTGTAAGGAAAATCACATAAACGCAGAGAATTATGTCTAGCAGGGTTGCCTGGTCGTGCTGACTAATGATAACAGGCTGTAGCTTGAGGTTGGGCCCCTTTCATGCGCGCCCCTGAAGCAAACTACCTGGCCCCTGTCTCCCGGCCCGGCGAGGACGGCGTGGTGCACCTCGGCGTCAGCAGAGGGGCGCGGTTCATCGATGGGCGCGTGCTGCGCGGCGTCAGCAGCGGTGCGCTACCCCTGCTCCGAGGCGTGTCCAGCAGCGGAACCAGGGTCACCCCAGCCGAGGGCACCAGTGCCGAAGTTGCCTGCCTTTGATGGCTGCAGAGTTGTGGCAGGGGCTGCTGCGGCTTGTGCAATCCCCAAATAGGGCTGGCATCCTTAGCCGCAGGATTCATGTCCTCCCCAGCCTCCGGTGAACCAGCCGTCTGCATGCCAACTGGCGTGCTGCAGACAGGGCTCGCAGCCACCACTGGCAACGGCACGTGCGCCTGATGCTGTTGCAGGTGCTCCTTTTGCTGCTCCCCCACCAGCCCAGGCTGCCGCTGACCGCCTGCATGCGGGCTGTACTGCTCCTTGATAATTAAACACTGGTTGGGCTGCATCTCATGCACGTCTGCATGTCGCTGCCGCTCGTCCTGCACCGGGAGCAGGCTCAAGTCGTGCTGCAGCGGCAGCAATGCCTGACGCCCACCCCACGCCGCCGCACTACCATGGGGAATCTTGGATGGGGTGCTGTCGTGCGATCTGCTGCCGCCGCTCACCAAAGAGCTGCCAAACACGCTGCTGCAGGCGGCGCTCTCCAGACTGCCAGTGACACTTGCGCTAGGTGCGGCTGCAAAGGTGGGCCCTGCTGTGGTGGCTGCCAGCGCCAGCTGCAGCTGCCCAACAAACGCAGCCTGCGGCGGCAATGCCGCTTGCAGCGCCTCCTCACACGCCGGCTGCACCGGCGGGGATGATGGGCAGGTTGGTGCAGCAGAAGCCCCAGCAATCACAGGCAGACTGCTGGGGCCGCAGTGGTCTGTATCCATGGGCAGCTGGACCTGCTGCTGTGCCACCGCCGCAAGCGCCGCCAGTGCCTCGTCGCGGGCATCAGCACTGATCTTGCGACGCACGTCAGCCTCTTGCAGCTGCTGCTGCAGCACCAGCAGCCGCCCCTCCAGCTGCCGCGCGCGCACCTCTTGATCCGCAGCAGCAGCCCGCGCCGCAACCGCCGCCGCCTCAGCAGCCACTGCACGCTCGTCGGGCGGCGTTTGCGTCTCTGCATCACTGCGCCCTGACAGCCGCCGCAGCCAAAGTGGCGTGATGAACACTGGCGTGCCCTCCTCGTGCGGCTGCTCGCTGACTCCTGGCAGCGGCGGTGAGGGTGGGCTGGTGGCAAACGCCCGCGCGCCTCTGCGACCTGGCGATAGCTGGCTCGCAGCCCATGGTGACGCCTGGTGCACGGATGGTGTCCCTGTGCGGCTAGTGGCGGCAAAGCCGCTGAAGGACACGCTGCCGGAGCTGACAGAGCGCGGCTCCACTACAGCACTGCTGCCAAACGCAAAGCTGCCACGGTTGACACTGCAGGGACTCTGCGCATTGCTTGCTGGACTCGCGGCTCCTGAGGCTGCCGCCATCGGCCCAGTCGGAAGTGCGCCAACACCGACATCATGCGCGCTGCCCTCGCTGCTGGCAAACAGCGCCGCTGTCACCTGCCGCCGTATGCCTGCGAGGTCCTCCGACAGCAGCTCGTGCTCACGAAGCAGCGACGCAGCCTTGAACCCTGCGGCGTCCCGCCCGCCGGGCCTGCACCCCTGGCTGCCGGAGGCATCGCCGCTGGCGCTGTCACGGGCGCACCACTGCAGCAGCTGGACTTCCCTGGACACGCCCCTGCTGCCACTGCTACTGCTGCGCTGCGCGGCACCTGCCAGTGCTGCGACGGGGATTGGCTCCCTTGCGGCGCCTGCTGGTGCATGTCGAATCACGGGCCCTGCCGCAATGGCGGCTGCGTCAAATGCAGCCATGAGCGATGTGCCCATGTCCCGTTCGCCTTCCCTGTCATCTCCATCTTCACAGCCACCAGGGGCGCTGCCGTCACCAGCAGCAATCAGGATGGCAGCGGTGGTGCTGCCGGCTTCGCCCGCAGGCCCAATCCTCAGTCTTGCTTCGTCCCGCCACGGCGCGTGGCCTGCCAATCCACTCAACTCGTCCTTCAAGGCCAGCGCCTGCCGTCGCAACACTTCCGACGCGTGCGCCGCCCCCAGCTCTGCCGCGCTGCTGACCTGCAGCCCCGATGCCATGGCTCGCACCCGCCGCAGCGCCCGCGCAGCCTCTCGGCTGCCCGCTGGTGAGGCGGCGGCGGAGAGTGCGTCCCTCAGCTGTGGCGGAAGCTGCTGAATTTGCGCCTCTGGCGCAGGGCTGCCCTGCAGAAGTCCTGACAGCAGCAACGCCGACTCACAACGGTGCCCCGCCGCCGCCGCCAGCTCGTCAGACAGGGCACCCACAGCACTCACAAGCTCTGCCAGTGTGGCCGCGGCGCCGTCGTCCTCCTCCTCACGGGCGCTGGCGATGCTTCCCCCTACCACTGCTGCGCCACTGCCCACCAACAGCCAGGGCTCGTCCGTGCACGGCCCCTCTACATGACAGCGAGCCGCGTGACCACTGCTTCCATGGCCCCGCCCTGCTGTCGCTGCCGCTGAGTCCCTGGCCCGGGACGACTCCACCGGTGGTGCTCGCCGCCTCACGTGAACGCGCCTCATCCGCTGCTGCATGCGCGACATGTGGCCCTGCAGGTGGGCCGCGTGACGTGCCGCCTTGTCCGGGTCTGTGAGGGCCGCACGCAGCTCCCCCGTGAGCCGCTGCAGCTCCTCCATGGAAGGGCTGTCAGACAGAGGGCTTGACGCTCGCGCACTGCACGATGCGCCACTGCTGCCGGGGCTGAGCAGCTGCGTGTGGCCGCCGTCCCCCTCCGCGCCGCTGCAGGGGTCTCCGTCCTGGCTGCCACCACACGCGCCACAGCGGTTGGCGGCGCCAGGCCCTGCTGCAGCGCCCGGGCTGTCGCGCCCCTCGCCAAGGGCTGGGACGTTGCGGCCTACCCTTAGCCCTGGCTTGCCTGCAGCCGGGGGCGTTCCTAGCAATGGCGTCACGCAACGCTCGGGCTCAAAACCTTGCACCGCGACGCGGCTGCAGACTCCCGTGGTGTCATCGTGGCTGCCTGCACAGCTGCTGCTACGAATTTCCGCTGCATCATGCTGACTGGGTGCACTGACGTCGACGCTTGCGCCGCGGGGGCTGGGCGAGCTCGGCGGGGATGGCTGGTCTTCGCTTGGCAGCTGCGAGTGGAGAGTGCCAGGCAGGACGGGTGCCGCAGCCAACGGGGAAGGGCAAGGAATGAAAGGTTTGTTGCCGCTCGGCCTGCCACTTTGCAGCTTGACAACATACTCTATTGTGTATGCGCGACGCAAATGAACGTCTGTGTGGACACACTGGCCACCGACCGCATACGCGTGCACACAAGCACGAGACCGCACTCGCGTGCGCGCGCGCACACACAAAACAAGACGTGGCTCAGAGAATCTGCTGCTCATCACCCCATCCCTTGCAAAGATTATCCCACCTGTAGCTCCCCGTCGAGGGCTAGGAAAGCATCGCCATCAGCCGACAACTCCTCCAAATGCACGCTGCCATCCTCTGTGTCATCCAGTTGCTGTTGCTGGTCTCCCCCCTGCCGCTGCAAGCGCTGCTGATGCCAAGAATCGTACTCATCACCTGCGCCCTGCTGGCCGAGCATCAACGGCCCACACCCGGCGCTGCCGCTGGCCTCGCCCTGCCCCTGCAGAGTGGCCAGCTGCACCAGCAGCTCGTCCTTGCGCGCCAGCGCAGCATCCCTCTGCTGAAGCTGCACGCGCAGGCCGGCGTTCTGGGCGAGCGACGCCTGCAGGCGGTGCACAGGCGAGCACGGGGCCACTGTGCCAGTCCACCCACATAGTAGCGCGTGCATGTGGCGGTAAAGGCATGCCTACCACCCGGCTGAATCTGAGTATGCACGACCCATGCAACCCCTCCCCCCCCTCTCCACCTGCAGCTGCTCAGCCAGCAGCGTGTTCTCCTCCGCCAGCAATGTGCGCGGCCACACAGGCGGCCCGACAGCTCCCTTGCTGCTGCCTCCACTGAACCTGCTGCTTGAGACGCTGCCAGCCCATCCCGCTGAGCGGCTGGAACCACCCCCGCAGGATCTGCTGCTACTGCTGCTGCCTCCTCGGCTGCCCGAGCTCGACCTGCATGCTTGGCCAACTGGCGTTGCGGCCCCTTGCTCACAAGCCCAGGCCCCCAGATCCCCTCGATTGTGGTTTGACAGGGCAGATCGCTGCTGCGCGTTGACCGGCAGCGAACGTCGGGCTCGTTGCGCTGCCACATTGTTTGACGGCCTCTCCTTCCGAAGGATTGCCCCACTTATCGAGACTGCAGCACTTGCGGGGATGCTGCCGGTGCTGGCGCGCACTCGTGCCGCTGCGCCAGCAGCCGCATGCTGCGCCGGCGCAGGCGCCAGCGCCGCGCTCCCTGGTCGGCTGCCACGGGTCGCTGCAGATGCGCGCAACCCGTCTCCCCGGGCCTGGTGTCGACGTGACCCCGCCATGTGCCCCAGGACATCAGCGCTGCTGGCCGGCTTTCCGTTGTATTGCTGCAAGCTGTTCGCCTCCCCCATCAGCAGCGCGCCCTCCTTGGCTATGGCTCTGCTGCCGTTATTCACTTCCTCACGCTGCTGCTCGCCCTCGTGGCTTGACGGCATCTGCGCTGCGCTGTCTTCTCCCTCCTGGTCAGCGGGCTGTGCCGTGTCTGCTTGTGGGGATGCATCGCAAGATGCGATAGCTCTGCTAGTGCTGCTATCGCCGCCCGAGTGCGTTGCGCAGCTGCCGCAGTCACCAGCACCCGTGGATAAGGGGGCGATCCTCCTAGGGTCACCCAGCTGCAGCAGCACGAGCAGCCCGTCTTGTTGGTGCACCGACTGCACGCTGCTGCTGCTCATGGTGTCCGCGCCGACTGTATCCCTGACGTTATTCAAGGCATCCATACGCTGGCCAAGTGCTGCACTCTCACTTCCAAGGTATGCAGCACTGGCCCTGCCTTGCGCGAGCTCAGAGCGACGTTGCCCGCACGCAAGTTGTCGCTGCACCGTCACCGTTGCTATGCTTATCTCTGCCGTCCATGAACGTCTGTATATAACCGACGTTCGAGCTGCACCATCGGCCACTGCTAGCGCTGTGCGCGAGCCATGTCAACTATTCAACAACATGGCACGGCCGGCTACCGTAGTTGGCCATTTGCTTGCACATTTCTACGTCGTTGACAAGCGTCTTCGTTGACAATGTATGACTCTCAAAATCGATCCGTGATTGGTGTTGCTGCACATCAACAACAGCTGCTGGTCGTAGGTACATCATATGACGTGGAACGAAATGACAGTCCGATAGCATCCCGCTGCCTCCCGTAGCCATAAGGCGATTGCATGCTAAAAAGGCGTCTTATCGGGTCTTAAGCTGCGCTCACTGCGACCCAAGATCACCTTGACAGTGTAAGATGATCTTTGCCTGCAGCCAGCCATTCAGACCCCCAGCAGCCAAAGTAGTACCACTTAATGACTGGAAACCCTGCGTGCGAGCATCAGGCGTGCAGGCATTTGTGTTGGCGGCCAGCCGACAGCGTGGAGCTGCAGTGATGGCGCGCGCTGCCAAGCGGGTTCTTGTGCCTATCGGCAACGGCTCTGAGGAGATGGAAGCGGTGATAACAATAGATGTTCTACGCCGTGCTGGCGCGGACGTGGTGGTAGCCTCGGTGGAGGATAAGCTGGAGGTGACCTGCAGGTGACTTACACAAAGCGGTGTGCGTCCCTTGACCCAGGGAGGCAGGGGACGAGTGATTGGCCCAACAGCACACCTACGGTAGCTTGGATTTGAGCTTGCAGCCGTATGCCGTGTACCCTCCATCCCCCACTTACGCTGCTGGAGGTCATCATCCCGCACCCCACCCCAACAAGCCGCGGCGTGCGGCTGGTGGCTGACAAGCTCATCGGGGAGGCAACCAGGGAGGCCTATGACCTGATCGCGCTGCCGGGAGGCATGCCGGGAGCAGAGCGCCTGCGCGACAGCGCGCCGCTAGTCGCAGCCATGCAGGCACAGCGTGACGGGGGCCGCCTGAGCGCGGCCATCTGCGCCACACCGGCGGTGTTCCTCCAGGCCAAGGGGCTGCTTGACGGCAAGAAGGCGACCGCGCACCCCGCATTCGCCGACAAGCTGGTGGACCAGAGCGCGGTGGCACAGCGCGTGGTGGTTGACGGCAGACTGACCACCAGTCGCGGCCCCGGGACAGCGTTTGAGTTTGCCCTTGAGCTGGTGAAGCAGCTGTACTCAGAGGACAAGGCCCGGGAGGTGGGGGGGAGGGGGTGGTGGCGAGGAAGATGTGAGTGTGTGGAGGGGTTGGGACGGAGGCTGGGGATGGGAGTAAGTGCATGAAGGGGGGGGGGGGTTGGAGAATGTCTCTGCACAAGTACAGGTTGAACGATCGTTGTTGATGAGGACTGCCCGCATTTTTGTGGAAGAAACGCTTGCACTGCTGAGGCCCTGCAAGTTTGCGAGTATGCTGTTGCTGTTGGCACCTGAAGCCCACTATCGCCTGGAGTTCAGGGACTTGGACCCCAGCCAACCATTCGCACAACGTCCACTATCGCTGACGCAGGTGGCGGGACCCATGGTGCTGCCAGATGGCTTCAAGGTGTGAGACAGTGTCTGCTGAGGATCTTGTGTTGTTACATACTCTTTGCTCGCAAAAGCGGCGCGTAGCCATCAAATGTGGGTGTATCTGCGCTGATGCTGCGACTCATGCCACACCAAGGATTCAAATCGTTGCAAAACCCCTGGGCAGGAACCCACTCGTCAGCAGAATATTAACACACACAGACGTACGAAAACAGCGTTAACCATGCGCCTCAGCAGTCTCGGGTGCTAGCCTTTGCACCGCGTCTGCCTCTCACTGTGTGGAGAGAACGCATATCTTCGTCCCGGAAAATTGCATCTTCTCAGCGAGTCGGCAATAGAACGCCCTGCAGACGTGTGGTTGGAATCCCTCCTCCCAAATCGCAGACCCTCAACCCTGCCAGGCGTAAACCCCAGGCATACAGCATGTACAACATTGTGCAAAAAGAACTCGCAAATGCCACATCATTCGGTTCAAACGGGTGCACAAGGCACAGGGGCCCAACTTGACGCGCACTTTAGTGGGCTGTGCTTCCTCAAGGGTTGTGGTCCCGAGGTCAAGGCCAGCCCACAGAAACCAAAAACAAACCATAGCTGTCACATCAAAAGAGGGTGCGGAAGCTCGACGCCCTGACCCCCAACATGACGCCCCTGTGTGGCCTGAGAAAGTGCCGATCACGCGGCTGCTCAGGGCTGTTGCTGAGGGTGACGGTGAAAAAAACTCTCGATCCAAAAGTGGTGCAGCACGCAACACGGTTGTGGGGCATTGCCACCAGCGGCACAGACAAACACGCCTGCCCAGCATCGTCACTTGCGTCAATTATGCAAGAGGACAAAGATAAAGGGACGGGCCTGAACCCTTACAGTCCCACGCGCAGCATCGATCCCTGGAAAAAGCCTGTCATCGAGCGACAGACAAAGCGCAAATGACTAGGCGACAGCTGTGGGCGGCAGTGCAACTGCTGCAGCCACCGGATGGCGATGCATGGCAATGCGCTGTTGTGATGGGAACTCCACAAAAACAACCGCCATGCCTTGTCCACACGCCTCACTCGCAGATTGTTGCACCAGGTCTGCCCAAGGGTGAATCCTGCGCTCCGCTTGTTGTAGGCCTTGTAGCGAAGTTGATGCTCAACCGAGAGCAGTGGAGCCCCAGACTTCGACAGAGGAGCTGCTGGCAGCAGCTCGGCACCTGCGCCGGCGCCACCTCCTGGCTTAACGCCGTTAGATACCAGTGTGCTGTGTCAGGAGGTTTGCTGCGCGAGCCTTTCACGTGCGCGCTCCAGTGCTGCCAGCAGCAGCTCCTGGGTGTCGACCTCCAGACTGAGGCTGGCCGCAGAAAACACCAGGCTGCCGTCGCGCTGGGGCGAGCGCGCCTCTGCCGCATAGGCTTCTGCCAGAACGCGGCCCACGACAGACCTCCACCGGCGCGCCGCAGTGCCGTCAGGCGCAGCGCCCTTATCTGCAGGCTGCGTCTCCACCTCGTGGCGTGGCCACTGTACAGAGGCTGTCGCGTCGTGCAGGGTCGGGGGCTCTGGCAGCTCTGGAACAGGGGCCGCGGCGCCTGTGCTGTTGGCAAGAAGGTTGTCGCTGGTGCTGATCGGGGCGACGCCCACCTCTCGCTCCAGGGCGGCAGTGGCGGCCTAGGATGGGGGGGGGAATAAAGGTTGAGCTTGGTCCCATGACTGGGTGCCTACACGGCGGAAACAGCTGCTGAGGTACCGAAAGGCTTGCCGCTGAAGCACACCCGCCTGTGGCGAGCTAAGCAAGATTACAGACGGCGAACTTGCATTGCTGCGGGACCCCTCCTAACACAACAGGGTGGATCACCCACCGTGAGCTCCCCAAGCAGCGCAGCCGCGTGCAGCGCCTCGCACTCGCCGGTGCCCAGCACCACCTCTGCCGTCGAGGCGGCCTGCCGCTCCAGCACCTCTGTCGCTGCTGTGAGCAGCTGGTTTATGGTTGCCGCCAACACACGCTCGTTGATGCCCTCGCCGTGCGTGGGCGGCGCTGCCGCTTCGTCGGCCCCACCGCCAACAATCTCTGACAGCAGTGCGTTGAATCGCGCCTCGGCCTGCGCCATGCGCGCGTCGCCGTCGACCATGGGGCTGCTGTCACCCTTGTCGTCCACGGCAGGAGCGGTGCTGATAGCCGGCAGCTCAGAGGGGTCCATGAGGGGCACTTGCAGCATTGGGCCCTGCGCGGCGGGGCCAGCAGCCGGGTACACAGCAGCGCCGCCGGCCTCGGCGGCCAGCGCACGTGCCGACCTGCGCTCATCAACGCGGTGCCTTTTCTGGCGCAGAGCATCGGCGCGCGCCTCCAGCGCCCTCAGGCGTCCCTTAAGGAACTCTCTGTCGGGCCGCGCCACGACGCCCGTGGCCGAGGTGTCGCTCCACGCACACGCCACGCCCACGCTGCCGGTCGGCGCAGACTCGCCAGCACCGGTGTCCATGGCTCCAGCGATGTGAATTGTTCTGTCCTCCCCGTCCTGACAAGTGGTGATCGGGGCACGTGTGCAGGTAGGGGC